ATGGAATGCTGAATCTTTGTAAGTCATAGGTTTAAGTATTACACTTCTGTCATTTTTATAGCTGGTTGCACTACATTGCTTAAGTAAAGTGACAACAGAAGTGAAAAACTTCTCATATACAGACAAAATACTTAAATTAATACTAATGTCTACTTAACTTTATTGGCCACAACTGGATTGCTTCAGCAGTACTGGTATGGTAAGTAACTGCGTAAAAATATAAGAAAAGGATATTTTTGCCAAATGATTAGAGACTAAAAATAAAAAACATGTCCCCATCTTTAATATGTATTAAAGTAATATTTTTATATTTTCTTTTTGTCAATAGAAAGTCTGCATTAAACTTAAAGCAATTTAAAGATTAAATATATAAGGAATTTGCCAATTTAGATCCAATGAAATGTGTGTGTTTATTTGTTCATGAGGATATAATTCAGCCCTGTACTAATATACTTTTCACACTTTAATTATAAAAAAAAATGCTTCAAATCAAAATTATTTTTCAGATAATGCTAAAAAAGAAGATTAAAAATGTAATTCACAAATGTAATTCATTTCTAGATAAAGTCTATTATTTAGCCCTATTCAACACGTTTACTCATGCTCTTGCACATGCCTATTTTAGTATGGCATAATTAGTGACATTCTACCCAGCAAACATTGTTGTAGTAGAATTGCAGTGGACCTATATAGGCATTTTGAGTGGTTCATTAGAGTTTTGCTCAACAGTTTTTTAGTGGACCATATGACCATAGTAATAGCCTCTGTAAGTATAAACTATAATATATAAAGTAAAAAATAGCTTTTCAACGTGATATAGTGGCTAGTCAACAGCTAGCAACTTTTGGTCCACTAAGTAACCAATAAGCTGGGTATGTGCAGTTAAATTTGCATTTATTGATATATATATATATATATATACATATATATATATATATATATATATATATATATATATATATATATATATATATATATATATATATATATATATCAATAAATGCAAATTTAATTTAAGTAGATAGTGTTATTATTAGTTTACTGTTTTTATTTTCTTGCATGGTAGTCAAAGAGTTTTTGCTAATAAACCAGACCAGAAAAAGTTTAAAAGCTTGAATAAAGTCTATTTTTTTGTTGATAGATTGCTTGCCTGAACCAAACTTTTAGTCAATGTGGCAGCACTTCCTTGTAGCAGCAAGCTATAAGATAGTTAATGTAGTAACATTCTGCACATGTTTTGAAAGTTCATTTAAAAAAAACAAAAACACTATCAATTAAAAAAACTTTCTAGTCATTATTACAGTTTTTAAAATAAATAAAACTTAATGTATTTATAAATTATTTTAATTGTTTTAACTTTTAGACAACATTAAAATGTAGCTTAATTACTGAAGTCATAAAAATGTTGAAAGAGACTTTTTTTTACAATAAAAGCCTCTTTTGACTACGAGATAAGGATATATATATATATATATATATATATATATATATATATATATATATATATATATATGTATATATATATATATATATATACACAAATAGCGCATATAAATGTGCATTTGCTGACCTAAATCTATATCCTTTTAGGTCAGCAAATATATAATATATATATATATATATATATATATATATATATATATATATATATATATATATATATATATATATATATATATATATATATATATATATATATATATATATATATATGTGTGTGTGTGTGTGTGTATATATATATATATATATATATATATATATATATATATATATATATATATATATATATATATATATATATATATATTAGGATGGTTCTAAAAACAACATTTTTATGAAAATTTCTGATGGCACCCCTTAAATGTGTTCTATGTAATAAATTAATTACATTTAAAAAATTTTTTTTAGGGGTTGCTCAAGCCTTAAACATCAGACAGGTCCCTAATATTTTGAAAAAAAAGTTCTTTAAAACCATATCATGTTGGGTCTCAAAAGAAGTGAAATTCTATAATATATATATATCTATATATATATATATATATATATATATATATATATATATATATATATATATATATATATATATATATATATATATATATATATATATATATATATATATGTATATATTCATATATGAATGTCTCAACAAAAGAATGATCAGAGTCACACTTTTGCTGTTTTGAGAAAATCAATTTTTAAGATTTAAAACAATGTGTTCTGCTAATGTGTGGTGTTTTTAAATTCCTATAACTAGAGTGACCATTCTCCCTGTTTTTACGCAGGAGAACGCAGCGCCAAACTAATTAAAATTAGTTTAGCACTGCGCTCTCCTACGTAAAAACCAGGACAATGGTCACCCTACCTACAACTCAAGACTCATTTTTCGATTAGTCACTTTAGGTAGACAAAGTATGAACCCAGGGCTACAATAAAAGGGCAATAACTCAAAAAAATCAAAACTGTGACTCTAATCGTTCTTCCGTTGAGGCCTTCATATATATATATATATATATATATATATATATATATATATATATATATATATATATATATATATATATATATATATATATATATATATATATATAAATCCAGTATGCAAAAAAAATGTCAAAACTGTCCTAAATTTTTTCCCATTCTGGTGTTTGTTTAGAATGTAAACAATTTATTTTACTAATTTCTAATTAATGTTTTAGAGCCCCCTCAAAGCTAATAAATATTTAACAAATCACTAATATTTAAAAAAAAAATTTTTTTCAAAAATTATGTCTTGTTGGGTGTCAAATAAAGTGAAATCATATAAAAATTTCAAAAATAATAATTATTTTATAAAAAAATTTCATTATAGACTTTACTGCTGAGAAAGTGAATTTTTTTTTAACTAAAAATTAAAAAAGGGAGTTCTAAAAGATTTTTTATGATTTTTATAAAATTGTTATTATTTTTGAAATTTTTATATAATTTTGCTTTGTTAAACACCCAAAAAGACATAATTTTGAAAAATGTATTTTTTGTTAAATGTTATAGTGGCCTTGCTTGTCTAGGTTCTTGAATTGGAGTTATAGAGTTAAGAGAGAGTTATAACCACAATTAAGTAGTCTCCTCGTCTGTAGTGGCCTTCTCTGCCTTGGAGAGGTGAATTAACATTAAAAAAAATAAAATATCAGTTGGTGTATGTATTGGGTAGATGTGGAAAAATTCGGTTAACTTTAAATTGAGATTTCTCTAAAACCATAAATGCTTTTTAGTTCAATTTTTTAAATATTAAATGTGTTTACATCAATTAGGGTTTCAACTTAATTTTAAGGGGCTTGATGGGCTGTTTGGTAAGAGATTGAATTTTATAACGGGTTGATGTCATCATTTTGCAGGTTTTTCTATTTTCACCTTATTGGTGGCATTAATTCACTTTTTTTGGAAGTCCTTTTTATTTTTGTTACTCAACCTGTTTTACAAAAAACTTCTTTAGCTATTGCCCAAAAATCTTCAATCTTGCACTCTTCATAATAATTTGGAGGATTCGCATCTTTAGGAACAATTTTCAAATTTTTATCTTTTCACCACCGTAGAACTTTTTGAGAATAGTGAGAAGCAGCAAGATCTGGCGAAAAGAGACATGGTATTTGTAATTTTTCAGAAATGACTAAAGTTCTTTGATGTAGAGATTGGCATTCTTTGATGTAGAGATTGGCAGTTAAAGTCTTCTTAGTGACAAAACAAGAGGACTGTGTATCACAGCTTGCCACACATGGATTTGTATGCAAATTTTTCTTGTCAAATATATTTAAATTGATTGTTGACAAGTTTATCTTTGTTCTTCTAGTAATATTGTTGACAAGGAAGTCATGAAAAATCCGCCTTGTAATATGTTTCATCATTTTCAATTATGCACATACTTTTATTCGCTATTATTTTAATCATCTTCTTTGCACATGGAATTCTTTTAATTTCACCATTTAAGCTTCTCTAAGGCGTATTTTTCATATGAAATGCTTTGATTCCAGCATTTTTAATTATTTTTTAAATATTAGAATGCAAAGTCTTGAATTTTCTTGCTGTGACTGGTTTGGATTTCATTTTATTGAACTGAGAATCCACTTCACTTTTTTGAATTTATGGAAAGCTTTCTAAGTTCCACTTCCAGGTTTTCTTTCAAAGCTTTGAGTAGTCTTAAACTTATTTATAATATCTATGACTGTAGATTTTGAGACATTCGTACGTTTAGCAATCAAGCAATATAAAATTGATGGATTTTTGCACAAAAAAAAAAACAACTTTTTTGCACACCTCAATTTGTTTCCAAAACATTTTGCAAACCATTGATTTGTAATCAAAAGTTATCAACACAATTAAAGATAAGCAAGTAACATTTAATTAAAAAAAATCAAAGAAATAAAAAGCATTTGTGGTTTTAGAGATATCTCAATTTAAAGTTGACAGAATTTTTCTTTGTCTACCTGATACTGGAGCCCCTGTAGCTTCCTATTTCAGTATGTAGTCAGAGTGTTGATCTAAGTGTGCTTTTATAGTTTTATAGGCTTCAGTACATTTTTTCGCTGATTTAGGGAGAACATGCAAACATGTTTTTGCCATCAACTGAGAGTTTGAATAATAATAACAAAAAAGTTTTTTCTTTTTATGAAAAAAAAAATCAGCAAATGCATATATATATATGCACTATAATGTGAGTGCGTGTGTATGTATGTGTATATATATATATATATATATATATATATATATATATATATATATATATATATATATATATATATATATATATATATATATATATATATATATTGTCGCTCAATAAACATCTCCTTTCTTGGAAACATTCATTTTACATGTCCTTACAATATTGTCCTAATTAATATTTTCTAATAGTTTTACATGTAGATGTAAAGTAACAACTTTTTGTATTAATGTGTGAAATGGTGTTTCATCTCCCCTGCAATTAATGTGTGAAATGGTGTTTCATCTCCCCTGCAAAGTTGACTTATATCACTTAGGCTGTAACATTTCTTTTGTGACATGTACAATTTTTTTTAGTTTATATTGCAAAATATTTAAAAAATACTCTTATATTTTTAGAAATTAAAATAATTATTTTAAAGAAGAAATAGTTTGATAAAGAAAATGGTGAGTATTCTTATGAATTATTTTTTAGTTTAAATGGTAGTTTAATGTGTGTATGTCTGTGTTTGCCAATAAGAAAGTTATTTACAATTGTAATTTATAAAAAAAAAATATTTACATGACTGGGGCTAGAAGAAAACAAACTTAATCTTATTATCAAACCCCTAAAAAGTTGTTTTCTTTGTTTAAAAGTTTCAAGTGCTAAATATAGCTGCAATATAAATAATATTGTGATATAATAAAATTGAAATAAAATAAAAACAATACCGCAAAGTGCATTTACGTTCTTTAATAAAAAATTTCTGATAGAAAATGAATTTAAAGTTTTTTAAATTGTTTTTGAGAAACAAAAAATGGAAATTATGTTAACTGATTTTTTTAAATTTAGTTTAAACTTAATGTCTAGATAAAAAACAGACTTCATTTTTATATTTTAAAAAACTGTTTATAGGTTAAATAACCATTTACAGGGATTACAACAGCTTTTTTTGGTGTTTGAGATAAATTTCAGAGTTGAGGAGCAAACTTCAAACTTGAATATATACATGCTAATATAAAATGAGAATACATTGCAAAAAGTTTGCGGCGGTCAGAATCTGGAAGCAACAAACAACAAACTGTCTTTAAATTAGATTTAGCAGGTGTCAGTTTCAAACTGGACACCCAGTATTTCAGCAGCCTGCCTAGTAAAAATAAACACTAGACATATATATGTTCTGTTTTCCTCAGTACTTGCATAGATTTAAAAAATATAATTTTGAAAAACAAGAAACTATTGAAAGTCATTGAGGTTATTTAGTTATTGGATATAAAAAAAGTTAAATAGAGTTATGTAAGTTAAAAGTAAAAATATGAACAGTTCTGCTATATGTTTAATGGAAACAGCTATGTTTCCATTAAACATATAGCAGAATAATCTAACAACTTTAAAAGGTCACAACATTCTATACAATGAAGCTATTAAGTGTAATTAAACTAAATCATTAAAAAATCAAATAAAACAAAATTTCAGTTGTTATGTTTATTTTTAAATATTTTAAATTGTTTTATTGGATTCCTTGCCTCAAAATATGTAAGTGTGCATTTTTCAGATTTCTTTTGCACACAGAACAGAAACGAAGACCAAAACCATTTTTTAAATGGTGGGTTTTTGTTGGTTCAAGGCAAAGTTGAAATTGCTATATCTTTAAAACCATTTGCAATTAGATGATAAAATTTTGAGGATGTCTATAACTTATTAAAATATTTGAATGGTATAAAAATCAGCTAAAGCTGAGAATTAAGTTTGCATTATATAAAAAAGCAAGATGTTTTCACATGGAATTGCCCAGTTTTAAAGTTTTCCTGTGTTAAAACGTTACAAAGACAAAGGCTAAACAGATTTAAAGGGTAGTTCTAGTGAATTAGAAGATTTGCGCATAATAATTAATAGTAACTAAATCCCAGCTAAATTTTTGCTATTTTTCAAAAGCCTGCTCTACAAATTAGTAGGGGTTACTAGTTGCTTTTTGAACAAAAGTATTTAAATACTAGTGTATTTTAAATAACTGCTAAATAAACTGCTTTTATTCAAAAAAAGCAACAATAAAAAAAAAAGGAAATCCTAAAAACCATGTATGATTGCAATTTTTATGCTATTGTTAAATAATTTATAACTCAAACCATATTGTCTTTTCTGTCCGCAAAAATTTTTTTATATTTTTTCAGCAGAAAGCAGAAATTTCAAAAAAAAAAAAGAAGTAATGAAAGTAGGTAGTGTGATTGTGGTTGTAAGATGTGTTTGTAAGTAATTAAAAAATATGATAAGAGACATCAAACATGGGCTGCAAAGACAACATGTAGCGTAGTAAAATTTTTAAAGAGTGTACAATAGACACCATGAGGGACTCAGATTAATATGTAAAGTTAATAAAAGTATTAAGTAGTAAAAGTTAGAAATAAGTTAAATATTTATTGAGCATTTTTTTTCAATTATTGATAAGATAAAAATCATTTTTTTAAGAACTAAAAATTTGTAAATATGCTTCCTATTTTTCATAAACTAGTTTAGTAACATTTATGGTGCTTCGTTATAATTTTTATAAGGCACAAAACTTTAAAAATAATTAAGAAGTACATTATCCATAATGAAGGTAGCAAAAATTTAATGATAAATTTTTCAATTCCTATTCAATTATTTAAAAATACTCATTGCATTTAATTATGCTCTATTATCTATCCTCATTAAAGTTTATAAATGCCTGTTTAGGTGCATTATGCAAACCTGGTGCACAGAAGAAAATGACTTGACTGCTGCATTAATTGAAAATTAGTATAAATAAATTAATTTCATAAAAACCTTTCTGTATTCTTGTCAAAAAAAATTTTTAATCTAATTGAATCAATCTCCCATAAATTCTCACTGGTATAATCAGCAAACAATGCCTGAGGTAGCATTGTTTGCTGATTATACCAGTGAGAATTTATGGGAGATTGATTCAATTAGATTAAAAAATTAAAATTATACTACTCAATTAGATTAAAAAATTAAAATTATAGATTAAAAAATTGAAATTATACTACCATTTATTCTAGTCAAGATAAGAAGCCAATGCTCTCTGATTACTTGGAGGGGGCATTTGAACTTGAAAAGGATCTCACTTATGCTACAGCATGAACCTCTCATTAGTTAGTGAACTTAAATTCCAATAAAATTCTATATTTATGAACAGTAAAATGTACTTGATGAGTCATCTACCTTTCATCTTCTAGGATTAATTCCAACTCTAATAGTGGTTTCTTGCAGCCTTGTTAGAAGTTGAGATGTTTAAAAAAAGTTCTAGTTTCAACTTGTTTTAAAAGTAAACAAATTTAAGCAGTAAATTAACTTAAATGTTTCATTGTTTAATTATTTTTATAATTGCAAAAAAAACTTTTAAATTTTTAAAAAAGTATCTGTACATGAAAAGATATATTGCAAAAAAAATGTCTGATGCCCTAATAGTAAGTACCTAATTCAAGTTCTGTAAACATACCAACAAATCTTTGTATATCAGGGCTTGTCGTCTTTATAGTTATTCTGTAACCAAAGCAACAAACCTTTGTATATAAGAGAATATCCAATTATTAGACATTTTATCTGGCAGAATGACAGATAATCGGCTTCCTCCCCTTTTCTTTCCTTTGACCCCCTTTGGATCATCTGGTAGGTCAGAATGGCATGTAGCTATTTGTTTTGAGTTCTGCAAATTTCTAAAAAGAGACTTAAAGACATGCTTCTAAAACTGTTTATTTAATTAGCATGATGTAAACTCTTAAGAAAATTGGGTTCACAGGAAAACCACTTAAAAATATTAACAGCAACAGTGTTATTAGCACTGTTACATATAAATCATAATTTAAAAAAATTAAATGTTTATGCAAAATAGAAAAGTACTTAAAAATGCATGAGTATTATTTTTGAAAAAATAAAAAAAGTGTATTATCTACACAAAGTACTATTTTTCACAATTCAGAAACAAAAAAATTTTATTAAATTGTTAGTTTTATGTTTAATAAACTATTTTTTTATTTTTTAATCTTTACACTATTTGGATAATAATGAATTCAAATTTATTTTTATTTAAAAAATTTTTTAGGGAACATCTGGGGGAGAGCCTCGTGTTTTATTAAATGCATTAAAGCCAATGTTAGGAGTTGTTGGTGATATTCGAACACCCCAAGAAGTACTTAGAGTTGTGGGGTATGTAGAATGTACTTTTTTTAATTAAAACAATTATTTGTAATGTAAGTTGAATCCTTTTCTTATTATAATTATTTTTATTTTATGTTTCATCTTTTTTATTTATTTGCCTTTTTTCAAGATAGTTTTAAAATGATTAAAATGAATAAATGATGTTATCATTTATACTAATATAAATTAATGTATATATATATAAATATATATATATACATACATACATACATACATACATACATACATACATACATACATACATACATACATACATACATTTATTAGGCGCATAAAAAAGTGATTGCCAAAAAAATAAAATTGTTTTTTTTTTTTTTAAATTGCAAATTTTTTTTTGTTCACCAAATACTTTTACGTTAAATTATAAAAACACTTTTATGTATTTATTATAGAATTTAAATCAAATGATCAGTTTGCCGTTTTTATTTTAGTTATTTTAGTTTAGAACTTGAATGAAATATCTGTGACATTGTATACATTATTATATACATGTGTGTGTTATATACATGTGTACGTGTATTTGTGTATTAAATATGATCAATTGATATAGAACATCTGATATAATTTTTTTTAGCATGATGAAAGATGCAGAAAAACTCATGAGTAGATGTGTATATCTTAATGTATTAAAATCCACGTGTCGACAAGCATTATTAAATGAAGAGAAAAAAACCACTCTTGATAAGTATGCAATTTACAGAAGCTATGTTTTCTTTATTTTTGTTAGTTTTAATTACTTTTTTTTTATTGAGTCTTATTCAATTTCTAGATTTCTTGCAACTGGTGGATGGGGCATTTTAAATAAATGGCTACACGAATTCACTAAAGCTGAAAACTTTCCTGTTCTTTTAGAATTAATTGATGTATGTTGTGTTTAGATCTCAATATTAAAATGTGTTACTAATTTTGGAAAAATACTTTTCAAATATTGTTTTTGTTTTTAATAATATTTTTTTAACTTTCAGGTTCTAAAAGTTATGCCTGTCACAATTGATTTACTTAAGCAGGTAAGAAAACTGACATTACCTTATAAAATTTTAAAAAAAAGATTAACTTTTTTTTAATTAAGATAATAAGAATGAAAAGGCAGATGTATTAATATAATTATATTATTACTTTTCGTGTTAATAACAACAATTTTTAAAATCTTTCTTTTAGGGCAATACTGGTAAAATTATTAAGCAGATGACTAAATTAGAAAATATTGGTAAGCTACTTTTCTGTTATAGTATTTTCTAACCTTTCATTTATCGATTATCCATTATTAATTAAAACTATACATTATTTGGTAAAATGTGGTAAAATTACATCATGTATAAATCGATTCAGTATAAACTACCCTTAATATTTCAGACGTTAAAAAAAATGCTGGATCATTAATTAAACAGTGGAAAGAAATGATCCGAGGTGGTCCAGGTGTGTAAGTTTCCTTATATGATGAAGTATGATGAGATTTTCAATTTTAGTTTCAATTTTAAATAGTTTTAAGAAGAGAATATCTATTATAATATAAGTATATTATATGTATAAGTAAGTAACTATTTTAACAACCCTCGGAATTAGAAAAAATGAGGTCGGCAATAATTTGCTGACCTCAATCTTTTTGAGGTCAGCAAAAATTATTTGATACAAAGGTCTGACCATAAAACATAGAAATGAGGTCGGTAATTTTTTTGCCAACCTCAAACACTTTCAGGTTGGCAGTTAAGTCGACATTGCTAAATGCCGACGCTAACTCCAAGGGTTGATTTTAACAATAAAATAATATTTAGTTCAACAATAGAATAGCCAAAGCAGTTTGATTTAATAAATTTAAACTTGAGAAGTTTATAGTACATTTTAATAATGGAAAATATTTAACCACTAAGCATACATTTAACAGTAGATTAGGTTTAACAATAGATTAATTGATGGTTTTAGAGGTTTCATAATAGAACAAGTTACAATTAAAAATATACACTAAAATATGAAATTATGTTAATTATATTGTTATATTAATTTAATATTCAATAGTATGCTCAATATTTTTAATTTTAGAAAAGAAAACAAGTATTGATAACGAAAACAATGGTAATTATTTTTTCGAAAAAAATTTAAAAAAAAATTTTTTAGTTGTAAGAAATTAATTTGTTAAATTGAATTTTTAATTCTTAAATTTTAAACTGATTAAATAGCAGAAGCTCAACAGAAGAACAAAGATTCACCAGAAGAAGAAATGAGTGAATCTGTCCAAACGAAAAGAATTAGGTGAAAATATGTTTACAAAACAATATTATTTTGTTATTTGCTATATAAATTACTTTTTTGACTATAATAGATCTCTTTCAAATGCAGATGCTATCTGCTGACACCCTTACCTATATTCAACTGTTGTGTAAAAAAAAATGTGTGTAAAAAAAAAGCGCCTATTTTTTTCTGTTTAAGAATTATTTTATTAATATATATATATATATATATATATATATATATATATATATATATATATATATATATATATATATATATATATATATATATATATATATATATATATATATATATATATATATACATAGCCATACACTACGCTAAATATATTTTGCACAGTTAAGTATTTTAAAGGCTGACTTTAATCAAGACTCATGGTAAATTGACAGTATATATCAAAGTTGTTAACTATAGCTGACATTTGTACACATCATTAATCTAAGTTCTCATGATCATCTTTTTTTCTAATTTTTTGACATTTTAATCAAAACTAAAGGTTTGTCATATTTAATACCTTTTCAACTATAACATAGTTACTATTTTGTATATAGGGAGCTTGAAACAAAGGGACCTCCTGAAAAACGTTCAAAGATCAAAATTATTGAGGCATTGCCAAAATGTAATCTTAAAACTTTATTATTTGCTTTATTTATTTTAAAGAAACTGATTTAAAAAAAAAGATATATAAATAAAGAAATGTGTATATGATTATTCATTCAATCAAAATTTTTGTATTTAGTAGCAGACTCAAGTGGTTTTATGAATGCATTAAATGCTGCAGCTCCAGTTGGTATAAAGAAAAAAAGAAAGAATTCTTATACTAAGGTTGAAATCAACTTTTTTTAAATCATATAATGCTATCATATAGTAAAATTTTAAACTGAAATTGTTGCAATGTATGATGCTATTTATTATTCGTACTTTTTCAAATAATTTTTTTTTTTTTTTACTGTTTTTCATTTTTAGACTGCTTTACCACTTGACGAAATTTTGAATAATAAAAATTCTGATAAGAAGTTGAAGTTAGAAGCTGAAAATCTAGTGTAATTTTTTTTCTTCTCTTAATTTACATCAACTTCAAGAGAATTTTCGAAACTTTTTTAAAGTTTTTTTTTAGTTTTTGATCCTAGATATCTAAACTCTCTTTTTGTTGTAAATAACCTGTCGATTTCTAAACGCTCTTCGCCTAAATAAAGTCAAAAAAGAAAATTTTTCTTTAAGAATTAAAAAATACGTGATTTTCATATACTAGTTAATTGGTGCTATTAAACTTTTGTTTCATCCTTTAGTTCAATTGATTTTAACTCATCAATATTTATGTAACCTTATATGTTGTTTCAAATTAATAAATGCATGATAATATTTAAATTACTAGAAGTATTTTAAGTTTCAAGTGATTTTAATTTAGTTTGGCACCAGAAAATCAGGACCCAGTGCATTCCCCTGTTGATGATATTCTATGTAAGTTATTACAGCATTTAATTTTATTTGAGTATCTTTTTTTATAAATCTTTTTATGAGGGCTTACTGAAAAAAATTGTTTTTATTGTTGTTCCTTTACTTTATCTTTAAAACTCTATTTTTTCAATAATTTTTAGCAAATTATAAATCTCCAGCAGTTGAAGCAGCAAACTTGGCTTTTGCAGCAGCAACAAGTAATTTTTTAATTTATACTGGCTTGTATCCTCACTAATTGGTTATGGTATATATTTGATATATTACTTTATAGGTGAGCAACCTGTTCCTGATGAAAATTCTATTGCACGCAAGAAAAATAAGAAAAAAAGAAACATTACATGGGCTGTTGATGAAGATTTAGTTAAAATATGTTATTTTGAACTTCAAGAGGGTGAAAGAAAAAGTGAGGCATTTTATATTTATATATATATATATATATATATATATATATATATATATATATATATATATATATATATATATATATATATATATATATATATATATATATATATATAATTGTTTAAAAATGTATGCTTTTATTTAAAAAAAAATTTAATTCTAGGTCGTCATGTCGAAAACTTTTCTGAAGCAAGACATCTAGAGTTAATGCTTGAAAAGCAGGTCAGATTTAGTTTTTAAAACTAAATCTGTTTGTTCATAATAATGTTTAAAATGTTTCAATAATTAAAAATGTTTGGTTTAGGCTATGCGATCAGCTCGACGTGGGGCAGATGATAAAATGTTTGAAATGCTGAGATGGAGTCGTTTAATACCTGTTGATAATGCTGGTGTTCCTAATTTCATGCCAGGAGAGAAAAGCAGAGAAAAATTTATTCAGGTTCGAAAAGTTTTTTTTGACTTAATTGTAAAAATAGTTATTTGTTTGTTTGTTAACCATTTGTTATTAATCATTTTTTTCAACCAATCAGTAGTTATTTTTTAGTATGTTCAACCATTTATTGGTTATTTTCTGTAAGTTTATTGTAGTTTTTTTGTTTTGTTTTTAAAGGCTGAAAGAGAAAAAAGTGTCTTAGCTTTTATATTTCTTACAAAAGAAAGGTAAGAATCAACTTTTTTTCAACCATACATTATTAGGATTACTTAGTATTTAATATAACAATTATTTTTAGTTTACCTGACACACCTGGTGAGCCTGATTTTGATGCAGAAGATCATAGCAATAGATCTCAACCAAGAATGATACCTCATGATGAGGTAAAAACAAGTTTGACTAACGTCAACTGTTGAATATTTTGTTTACATAGATTGTTTACCCAGAACTTGTTTTTTAAAATTAGTTATTGGTCTAGGATGTTTTTATTTTTAATAGGTTTTATTAATTTAAGTCGTATTTCTAATAGTATTAAAAAGCTTAATAACATCAAAATTTCATACTTTTTAATGTCGATTATGTTTTTGTATTTTTATCAAATTTTTATTTTACTCAGGATGGCACAATATTTCCTGTTACTAAGTCATCAAATAAAACTGATAGTGTAAACAACTTAAGTTCAACGCCCATAGAGCGACGATCCTCAGATGATTTCAGCAATGCATCTACATCCCCTTTGAGCCCTAAACAACAGACAATATCTTCAACTGGTGTTTCCACTGCAGTGCAAAATATAATGAGCCAGCTAATGAGAGTCAACAATAATCAATTCCCTTCCACCAACGGTTCTGTGCAAAGTTCAATGGCTCCAGTTGATTCTAACATGTCAAGCTCTTTACAGGGAAAGCCTGGTAATTCGTTACTATAGAAATAGATAAACATTTCTATTATTTTTATTTTTATTAGATTTTTATTGGAAGATTTTAGTTACTAACAGAAAATACATTTTTTATATTTGATTATTTGTATAATAAATTTTATATATAGAGAGAGAAAATATATTTTATTAAGTTTGAAAATTAGAATAATTATATATTTTTAATTAAAGGAATGGTACCGAATCCAGTTTTTCGTCATCCACTTGCTAAGAATCACTATGATATTGGTAACAATGGCATGGAAAACATTCGTCCGCCCTTAATGCAACCGCCTGAAATGCGAGGTGGTCAGATGGGGGGTCCACGATTTCGTGGTCCTAGTTCACAAATGCATAGAGGTGGCTTTAATATGCGCAATGGACCTCCATTAATGAGGCCTCGATGGGACGGACCTCCAATGGTGAATTATAAATTTGTACCTAAATTTATGATAATTAAATTTCTTTACATTTCAATTGATGACTTTTTTTTTCAACTTTTTTTTTCCCCTTTTTTTCTGTTTCTATTCCAGAGTTAATCTTTTAGTTAAAAAAAACAGTCGAAACATTTTATCTAAAATCGTTTTATTATCGATTTATTTATAGGAACAAGATTGGGACAATTTCAACCATCATCCAGATCAATTTCATAATAACTTTCAAAATGGACCTTTTAATGAATTTAATAATCAAAACAATGGCGGTTTCGAAAATAATCATCGCGGTCGCGGTAGAGGGTTTCGTCCTACAGGTGGAAGAGGCCGTGGGCATAATGATAGGCCTAATGGAGAACGTGATTGGAATCAAGGTCCTCCTCGCGGTAGGAGACCAAATGAAAATTTTGTTTTTGACGGTCCTCGTGATCGTCGAATTGATGTTCAGCGTAATCGTAGGGACGAAAATGACAATAGAGAAGATGATCGGAACTTCGAGCGAAATAGACAAGTGAAAAAAGGTCAGTATTGAAAACTTATTTTTATTACCAATTTTTCTTAAAACTCTTATTAATTTTAAAAATGTATATTTAGCCGTTTGTCAGCATTTTCAAACACCTCGTGGATGTCGGCTTGGTGATCGGTGTAGTTTTATGCACTTGCAAAGATAAATCTGTTTTTTGATTGACCTTCAAATTTATTTAGAAGATATTTTACGTGGTGTTTTTGTAAAAACAAATTATGTTTCTTTAATTTTCTTTTTCTTGAAAAATTTTTTAGATAAGTTGTATTAGATGAAGTTTTTATTTAGTTTTAACATCCCATTCATTTTACTTAGTTTATGGTATTTTAAACATTAAAATTTATATTGTCTCTTTTTTAACTATGAAATGACTTATCTACAGTTTTAAAATGGTTGATTTCTATGTTAATTTTAAGTGGGAATAATTGATAAAAACCAGATAATTTTTATAAATTAATTTTTGTATAGTTATAAACTTTTTATATAGTTCAAAATTTTCTTGCCCAAAAATTTGATGGATCACTATTTCCTGTTATAAAACCTTAACATTATTTTATGGATTTAAAATAGAATATTATGTTAAAGGTTACATGAACCGGTTTGAACATAATGCAATTTTTTCATTCTCATCTAATTTATAAATCAAATTTTCATTTTTTTTTTTTTTTTTTTTTTTTTTTTTTTTTTTTTTTTTTCTATTATTTGAACAGCATTCCTTATAAAAGTTATGAAATATAATAAAAATTATAAGTAAAAATCGTGCATAAGAAATAAGAGAATTAATAGCAGCTGTGACGCAGTGGTAGCGCACTTGCCTCAGAAACGTTAGATCCGTGGTTCAAACCCGACCTCTGGGCGAGTTTTGCGACATCGGTTGGGAAGAGGCGTGAACTTCCTATTAAATGCTCTTCCGCGGTGCTCTGTGATAAGACCGTAAGGACTTCTTGGGGCACCTTAATCAACTAAAAAAAAAAAAAAGAGAGAGCACGAGGATTCGTAAGGTCTTGTCTTAGAGAATTGCCAAAATAAACGTAATAAAATTTCTCGTAGTAAATAATGGTAAAAGATAAACAAGATGTTTGCTTTTTTTTTTTTTTTTTTTTCATTTTATAGAAGAATCTATTCTAGATAAAAGGATTCGTTATAGGAGAGTTGCCTTAATTGGAACACTTAAGGAATAAATATTTATTAACCAAAGATGGCTTCACTATGAAAACATTTTTTTTTTTTATTTTTTTTTTTTTATATTAATTCACCTCCTCAAGGCCGAGAAGGCCACTACAGACGAGGAGGCTACTTATTTGTGGTTATAACCCTCTCTCAACTCTATAACTCCGAAACACAAACCTTGACGAGCAAGGCCGCTGCGCGGAGAAACGAGTTGAGCGCGGTACTACCAGAGATGTGGTGGGGATCGAACTCGGAACCACTCGTTTATGAAGCGAGCGCTCTACCACTACACCACTACCGCATTTATGATTTGAATAATACAAACAGACATCCCTACTATATTTTTAACCACAATTTGATTGCACTGTTATTGGAAATAAATTTGTTTTTGCAAAGGTACCATTTTGTTCCAATCAAGGCAACTGGTTCCCTAAATTGGAACGCTTTGATTCCTTAATCGGAACAGGTTACTTTTTTTTAAAAAAAGCAAACAGTAAAATCAACTAAAATTGGTTAAAAATTATTTTTATCTTTACCGTAAAAATTTAAATAGTTAATTTAAAACTTATTATAGGATTACTATTACCCTGACAAAATTAAAGTCTACAAACAAAAAATTGTATAAAAGCTTCAACTGTTATGAGGTTCTCTTAATTTATTGATTAAAAATCACTAAATAAAGTATTTTTTTACCGTATATGGTTGTTACGAAGTATTTTTTAATTGCACTCAAACTATTTTTACAACCCTTTGATTTTATTACTGATTAGGTAAAAGCAAACTTGAATGTTCCAATCAAGGAAACTTTGGACTATTTTGTTATATCACTCCAATAACATGCTTGCAGCAACTTATAAGATAAGTTTATATTGTTATTTTGCATCTTAAATCCCATCAAATTTATAATAAAACAAAAACTCGTATAACCTATAGCACTATAGTTTACCAAGTGCAACCAATATAGTGTGAACGCAAAATTAGATCACAGAAAAAAAATGACTCAAAAAAACTTTAAACTAATGGTGCAAATGCATTTTTTGAGGAATAACTTTCAAAATGTCTCAAAAAGTAGAAAATAATGCGTTTTACTAAAAAAATGCAAAATATAGCCATTAATCATTTTTTTTCAAAAATAAATGTAAGTGTTCCAATTAAGACGCTGTTTCAATTTCGGCACCTCTCCCTATATACTATATAGGTGCAAATAAGCGTAAGGGGTCGTCTATAAAGCACGTACGCCAAAAATTTTGAATTCTAACCCGCTCCCTCTCCCATGTTGCCTAAGTGCTTCTCCCTCCTCCCCCTTAAAAAGTACGTACTTTTTTGAAAAACCTACCCCCCCCCCCCCCCAACAACAACAAAAAATATTTTTTCTATGAAAAAAATATATATACAAATATTAATTTTAATATAGTTAAATTACACATCATCAAAGTGTTGGCTTGGTTAAGCGGTTGTGCTGAGTACTGAGGCAATGAAAAAAGTACAGTATGACTCGACCGGGGAATGATCCGCGATCATTCCCCGGTCGAGTCATACTGTACTTTTTTTTGGTTTTAATGACGAATCGAATTAAAATAAACTATACTTAAGGCAGATATTTTTTTTTAGGCACCGGATTTGGTAAGTCCGTAAAAAACGAGTCCTTCGCGAGATCAATAATATCGAAAACAAAGCCTAAAACCCAGTGCCGAGGATAGGCTACCCGTATCCCTTAATTTGGGGGGGGGGGGGAGAAGGGGAAGAAAATTTTGTGTCCGTTTTTTAAGAGTAGGAGCTTTTTATTTTAGCGAAACTTTGCGGTAAAATTTGGGAAATTTTGAGACCCGAATGGCACGGTTTTTTTTTTGGGAGGGGGGCTTCCGACCCATCAGCCACGGCACCGCTAAAACCTACTTTTTGTCGACTCAAAAAATAGATTGCCTGAAATATACCTTACTTAAGGCCAATATATAAGAGGTGGCATGTGTACATGGGCGCCCGCAGGATTTTTTGATGTTTTAGATAGGACACTTTCACACATTTGGTATAGGTATACTTAAGTTTGGAGCTTGCACAAGCTCCAAATATAAGCATGCCACTAATGTAGTAAAATTTCAACTTTAACTTCTAAAACTAAATTTAAATTTATCAACAGATTTTAAATTTCGTAAATTACAAAGTTATGAAGGAAAATATTGTAAATTATAAAGTTATGAGCATACAAAATTTACACCCACCTCTTCTTTTTTTTCTTCAAGAAGGGGGGGGGGGGACCTTTTAGGGCTTTTTTCTCACAGGCCTCCACCTTCTTAATTTTTTACAAGGCTTCCTCATTTGGAGTAGGTATAATCATACTTAAGTTTGGAGTTTGCACAATGTGTGAAAATGTCCTATCTGGAACATCAAAAAAACTTGCGGGCCCCATGCATATGTGTGCATATAGGGAAACTATACCCTCTACTCCCTATACCAAATGCTTTTTATGTTGACAAACTAGGATCTTTAGTCAGAATTTTAACTTTTCTATTGATTACCCAGTCAGCCATTTGATATCATAATTATTTCATATTGATTTCATACTATGAGATTTATGATATCAAAATGAAATCACACAGTTATATCAACTTGAGCTCAAACTTGATATCATAATTTGGAAACCTTATGATATCAAAAGTTGATCTCATCCTGTACTCAGAATGATATATATATTTATACATTTATAATATATATATATATATATATATATATATATATATATATATATATATATAGATATATATATATATATATTATATATATATATATCATATATTTTATATTATATATATATATCATATATTTTATATTATATATCATATATTTTATATTATATATATATATATATATATATATATATATATATATATATATATATATATATATATATATATATATATATATATATATATATATATATATATATATATATATATATATATATATATATATATATATATATATATAAAAGTTTCTCATGGTTATATATATAAAAGTTTCTCATGGTTCGATATCAAGTCGTAATCTCAATATGATCTCATGTTGATATCACAACCATACTTGAATTTGTTTATCTATGGTTATGATATCTATATATGGTATCATATTAAGATAATTATTTGTTATCGCAGCATGAGAAATTTTTGATTTCATATTAATATCATATTGATCTCATGCGTTGATTGGGTAGCTGGTTAATTGTGATAAATTAGAAAATCGATGTACGTACTTATAAATTGAATCCTGCCTCCCCCAACACGCTTTCGTACGCTTTTTGAGGACCTCCTCCTCCCCCTATGAGCGTACGTACTTTATGGACGACCCCTAATATAATTCGATTTCTGTGCGTGATATTTTCCTTATCTTTGTTTTTATACTTAGAAGCTGGAACTTAAAGCAATATGCATACTGTTATCGTAAAGATCAGTTATAGCAAAAATATCTTCATTATTATTCAGGCTACCTGATTGATTGAATATATAAACATACATACATAGATCCTAGTTCTAATTTGGTCTGGTACATACCAGTTAAATATAGTTGTCAAAATACAACATATGAATCAATTTTTATCAAATATTAAAGAACTCCGACCAAAAAAGATCTAATAATTAGAAAAAACAATAAACAATCATAACACCTCATGACTCCACTAAGGTTTTCACACAGATAATAGAATGTAAAAATCTGGACAATAACTCGATTGTATCTGATGATTTAAATTTGAGCAGCCGTGGCGTAGTAGTAGCGCATTTGGATGAGACACAAAGGATCCGTGGTCTATACCCCACCTCCGGGAAAGTTTTGCGACATCGGTTAGGAAGGAGGTGTGAATTTCCTATTAAATGTTCATCCGTGGTGTTCTGTGATAAAACCGTCATGACTGCTTGGGGCACCTAAATTTAAAAAAATTAAAAAAATAGATCATATTGTTAAACTACGATCTTCATTCCACCTGAACAACGTAATTTACCTGAATAGCGATTATCAGGAGGAAAAAAAAAAAGAAGAATTTTCGGTCTGGGTGTTTTTGGCCACACACATTTTTGTTTTATGTTACGGTAAAATTTAAAATTT